CCCTATGGCCAGTAACCATTTGCTTTTATTTAATAATTTTTTGTTTTTCCAAATATTTCTTAGCATTAAGAGAATTTTCGCATGTTCGATGGGAATTTTGGGCCCCCACTAGGCCTGGGCCCCCCCGCAACTGCGGGGGCTGCTTGGGCGGTTGCTACGCCACTGCAGCGTAGCGACCGCAGGCCGTTAGTATTCCTGAATTTAGAGCGTTTCATATAAAACGTTCTATCCTTATTCTATGTGGAAATGAGCATCTTTTTCCTCGGGGTATTACGTCTTGTGGGGCTCTAGGATTTCATCATTCCTGGAAGATGCTGCATTTAGAATCATCTAGCCCTTCTCTTCACCCGATAAAGAAGTCGCCACGGATGGAACTGAATCTAATCGGTCGCAATCCGTCCAACCTCTCCCGTCTGTCACATCTTTACAAGCCTTTCGTGCCATACATATTCTTGGGACCTCTTCCTGCAATGGAGTTTTGTTACGATTTATTGATATTATTGGCATTCCTCCTTTTTTTGCTACTGTATGAGACCCAACATTTTCAGACTTTAGGAAATGTAGCAACAGCAGGGAGATCGTCTTGGTGTTTTGCTAAAATTACAACTATTTCTAAGTTCTAAGCGAAAGGGAACTCATTAGAAAAAAAAAACTTTCCCTCGTCGTGACGGGGAAAGTGAATATCTTCTTGATTCGTTTGATTTCGTCGTCCTGAACAGCTTCCACAAACTTGTCGATGTAGGAAAACGCCAAAATACCTGTACGTCCATCTCCGAGTCGTGAGAATGTCTCATCCCAGTAGAAATGGTTCGGCTTTTTCTTCTTCCTTAGTGACTGCAACTCTGCGATGCGAAAGAAATAATCTTCATAGGGAGTTTTCAACATACCAAGACTCCAGTCGGAATCCCCAAATTCTTCGAGAGACGAGAAAGGAAAGAGGGCTCTCGTGACGAAACCAGACGTCAAAAACGTGCAGAAGAAAGTGATGAGCACGTAGGTAGTGGCAGAGAGAAGAAAGAGATAAGGTCTCCAGACTTTTCCGAGAGGGCTGCAGTTACACGTCACCGCCAAGATGATGCGATCGCTGATGCTTCCAGGAAGAATCGCAAGCCCGACGAAGGCATAAGCGGCAAGAACTCCCAAGATCCCACACCAGACGTGAAGGTGAAACGGCATCGAGTAGACATCCCGCCAGGAGACCTGCTGATGGCCCAACCCGTACAGGCACTCCACGGCCTCGTGAATGGGAAGTGACGGCCTCAAGACAAGGATCCTGTTCCCGACGTGGGAGTACCGGTCCACGGCTACTTCGCGCCGACCGTCGCTGAGGTATCCCAACCGACTGATGCAGCTTCTGTTCTCGATGGTGCAGTCTCCTCCGAATGGGTCTTCCGTCACCAACCAGTTACAACTGAAATTCAGGGTCTTCTCCAATACGTCCCATAGCTGCACGACGTACCCGTCTTTAAGTCCGACGAAATTTCCACTCGAATCATACCGATGAACTTTTTCGGTGCCGTAAGCAGGACCAGTGACGCATTTCAACGTGATTCCCTTGAGATCGTTACGCCGGAGATGAACGTTCCGACTCTTCAGCAAGATCCAGCAATCGTCGAAGTAATCTGCGACTGCGTCCACGACTTCAATTTCTGATTTTCCCACTCGGTAATGTTCGATCAGATGAGCGCTATGGTTGGAGACAGCCAGTTCGTAGACCTGGGATGCGAAACCAGGAGTATTCGGACCCAGTGAAAAATGATCGATTCCAACAAAAATCCAGACGCCTCGAGACAGAATCCGTCGTGAGTCCGTTGGAGAGAGACGGAAAGCTGAGACGGGGTGGAATGAGACATAAACCGGTCGGGAAGAGCTTCTACCAAAGTGCCCCGTTCCAAATATGTGGTGACCGCCGAGAAGGAAATTCGATGCACAGAGATCTGGGAAATGGTATGATGTTCCTAGGAAATCGAAGTTTAAAAGTTTGATGTTCATGAGCATATCGGAGTATCTGCATTTCGGTGGCGATCCTGGACTTACCCGGTGGACTCAGTAGGACAGGAGTATTCCAATTCATGATTCGCACCAAGGAATCAAGCATGACACATGCGTCGCCATATTTATCTGCTGCAGCTTTCCGACTCAAAATATTTCCTGAGGGCCAAATTGGAGGACGTTTGCAGTACGGCGATAAATCCGAGCGCGAAGAAAGTCACTGACTCTTACCGGTAAGTATGGCGAGAAAGATGAGCATATTCCCCATCATTAATGCTGTGGATATTCGGGGTGAAACGGAACTCTTTGACCCTGCTCCGCGTCGCATCTGGCGCCTGCACGTGTCTAGTCCAGAGGAATGAACACGACTTCGACGACAGACGAGAGACGACGACAGAATGAAGCGGTCATGCCCGGTCATGCCCCTTCGACGTCGGTCGTTGCAATTCCGATACTCGTCGAGCCTCCATCCAGGTCGAGTGACAGGACATTTGGTCCTTTTCAGTAGTTCTCACCGATGAACGACCCATGGGGCTGCGGGTTTCAAAAAGGTGGCCATATAGGAGTGTCTGCGATGGCAGGTATTGAAAGAAATGCTTTCATACCCCTTCGGGTTGTCATCAGCGTCAATAGCCGGGAGACGAAAATGTGATAGTAATATATTATTGAAGAACTGTCTTCAGAATTATGCACCTTTTTATATTTTGTTGCGCGACGGCCTTTTGGCCTTTTGGACTTTATTGTTCGGAACCTCGTGCGTCGCCGTTCCTGAGAGTACGAGTTCCGTCTGACGGAAAACGTCCCGTTTCAAATGACTACAACTTCCATCGGTGACTCGGATCCTTGATTCTTACATGATAGCATTCGATGAAGTCGGAAATTGAAAGAAATCTCAGCCTGCGGGCCTAAAAACATCTGCCGACAGGTACGGATTGCAGATCGGCAATTATGCTCATTAGGTGCTTAGTATGCTCAATTATGTTAAAAATTACAAACATCATCCTCACACGGGATGACGTTCGTAGTTTCGGACACCTGGGGTAATATGGGTAAGTGATAGGAGTTAGTTCCCAATTTCAGTCCTATTCCAGCGGGAAGATTCTGGCTTTCTGGTTTCAGAGTTTCAGGATGGTTCTTCCGCTGCCCCGTACACTCGTGACTGTGGTCATGCTCTATAGTTTTAGAATTGCATATACAGTGTCTCAGAAAAGTGTATACGCGATACAGTAGTCTAGCATAGAGAGACTTATCTGTCAATGTTGAGTCTTGTCATGTCGAGTCAGAAAGCCAACAGATGATTCCCACAGTCCACTAGCGTAGGTGTTCCAGTGCGCGGTACGCAACGTGTAGCATTGACAAATTTCTTGCACGGTGCTTTCGACATCAAATTCGTCTCTCAATCGGACAATTGTGAGGCGCGTCGGCGGTGTTGTTCCACACTCAAGTCTCCATGCACGCTGCACCTCTGACACGATCTCAAATTTCCAGGGCCACTTCAGTATCCGCTAGCGTAAATCAAATGACAGACGCACCTGCACCATCGTGGCCACACGATGACGGCACGCGGCATTAGCGTGTTTACATCTTTCTGAGACCCTCTGAAGAAGATACTCATTTAGAGGTTTGAGGGAAATAGTTTACCACTTCGATTTCTCAATTTTTACGCATAAACGCAAGGGTCAGTGACAAATAATAACTATGTAAATAACAAGCACAAGTGTATGGCAATGCATGACGAATGAAATCGTCCACATGCACAACTATGCAGATGACTTAATTCAAGTTATTAATCGCAATCTCCACGCCCAGGATGCTGTAAGTCTGAGTATCAGAGAAAGTCGAACATGCATAAATCTCCCTTTCCCAAATGCACAGAGGAAACGAACGTCTGACAACGTTGATGTCGTACCCGGTTTCCAAGCAGTAGAAGCGAAATTTGCCGTACCAAACCAAGCGAGTCTCTGGGATCGTTCGCGATGCAAGTCGTGGAGAAATCGTGGCTATTTTTAAAACCTTCCTCAATTCCAGGTTTCTCCTGAGCCGACGCGATTATTTATCGCTATCGTGGAGTTTGGAGCAAGAACGCATAAAGCCACCATTATCATAGCTTATTTTGCAATCAGAACCAACGAGAACTTGTAACCAGAACGGAATTCTCACATCCCAAATGACAATTTTTTATTTTTCATAAGCTGAGTTTCTGAAGCACTTTAAACTCCAAAATTCTTCGATCAAATTTTAATTTTTATATCATCAGAAAGCTACACATTCACATTGCAACGCTGAGCATTGTTCTACAGAAATCTGCCCAATCTTGAAGCTGATGTTAACATGTCATTCATTTTCCGACTTCTGACCAGGAAAGGCAGTCGGAGGAATAAATGTCTTTAATATCAATATTTTCCTTTCTTTGCATGAAGGTTGCAGATGAAAATTATCGCTGTTTTCCTTTGTGCCGTCTGATGGCAGTCGGTGGAAAGCACCCCTTTACTGTTATAACTCAGAGAAACTCGAGTGATTTCTACACAACAAAAACAAATATTTTATTCAGCAGTGGAGCAAATGAAGTGCATGAACATAAACAAAATGGCGACATTTCAATGACAGATATACAATAGGGATGAAGAACGGAAAAAAAAAGAAACAAATCAGATGATGGCGAGATAGATAGCTCGGCCTTGCATTTGCTGTTCGTTTAGGGCTTCGACAGCGGCCTGGGCGTCAGCGGGAGTCTCGAATGCCACCCGAGCCTCCGCTGTCGGCTTCCCATCTTCGTCGTAACGGCGAATCACATTGTCTTTGTGCACCTTGTAGTCCTTGAAGAAGTCGAGGATGTCTTCGACTCCGGCTCGGTAGGGGACGTTCTCCATGCCCACCACACAACCAGGGTTACCAAAGCTGGAAAGCATGCTCCCATCTTCCTCATTCCCATCCGAGGGGGGTCCTCCGGTAGAGCCCGGACCCTGGGGTGTCCCGGAGAACCTGGGATGCATGTTCATGGGTCCACCCCGAGGACCCATGAACCCACCACGGGATCCCATAAACATTCGTGGGTGTCTCATGCCCAAGAGAGGTCTGGAACCTCGGGGAGCCCCCATCCCCATGGGTCCTCCAAATCGGGGTCTCATCATCCCCATGCCGTAAGGACGGGGATTGGGTAGCATATCACTGCCTCTGGGCATGAATCCATCTTCGTCGACTCTGTTCCCTCCTCGAGACTGCATCAAAATCTCATCTTTCGTTGTCGGGTCGATCTGGTTCACCTGTCAGGAAGAAACTCAATCTCTTCATTTCTGGTTTTCTTTATGAACCAAGTACCTTCACACTGAATACTTGGGAAAAAGTGAAATGATAATTAATACTCCATTAAGGCAGAGTAAATTTTCCCCTATTTTTTCTTGTTGACTTTGAATGGTGACCGAAATTATTCCAGGTTTTTCCTATTAAGTTTTTTTGCTACTTTTCCAGTGACCTATCTATATTCGAATTATAGGAAACACTTCTCAGCAAAATATGAGAGAAGTGGGAACCTATTGATTCAAGGAGAATAATGGAGCCTACTTAGTGAACTTCAAAATTCGAACTCTTTCTTAGGAAGAAGCTGTGATTGAGGCTAACTAATTTCGGGAAAAGGATGAACGAAGTGGCATGTCTTTTATTGCCCGATGGACCTCGTGCTGGTCCATCGAAGCGTGAGCATACGATCATGTCGACTCCGGTCTGACGCAGATGAGATAACCCAATGAAATTTCAGACTTCATTCCTCGCCATTCAATCACGCAGGGGTTTAACTTCAGAAAGCAGCGAGATGAAGTTAATTGGAAGGTTTCTTCCGACCCCAGGCAAAATTGCTCTTAATCATGAATGCATACATAAGACATCCGGAAATCTAGAAATCTTAGCAACAATATGGCAACAAAATGGGAAAGAACTTATTTTTTTATTATTGACAGCATCCTTTCGCGTCACAGATATTACAGTCTGTTTCAAAAGGCGTCTCCTGCTAATAAATAAAAAAAGAGCAGTTGGTTGGCTGGGGCAGTTTCCTAAGCTTTTCTATCATCTTTCTCTCTCGACTGTGTCCTACTCAGCTTGTCTACGATGTTTCAATTCAACAGCACTCTCTTTGCACATCGGAAACGGTTACATAAGGGAGAGATTTTATTGAAACAACTTACCCTTAACGGAAATTCATGGATGATGACTCCGTTGAGTTCCAGAAAAAGAGGGACATCATAGGGCCGCACGCCATCAATGATGGCCTCGCTCACGTTGCCCAGATTGATGATGAAGATCCTGCCCAGATCCATGGGGAGACGACCCAGGATCCTGGCAACCTCCCGGACGGAGATCTTCGGCGGGAGTCCCCGAATGTGAATGATGTCGTGAGGCATGATGTCGTCACCCCCTTGTCGCGCTCTGCATCGTGTCATCTCGCTGGTGCTACCAAAATCCAGGCGGATGGATCTCTCCTGGAAGTATTCTCGCCTCAGGCTGCGAAAAGCTTCCTTGGCTTCGATGGGGGTTCTGAACAGTGCAAATGCGAGCCCGGTGGACTGGCCTCGCCTGTCTACGTCCACGATCACGTCCACGACGTTGAAATCTCTGAAGAACTCGAAAACGTCGGCTTCGACACATCCGACTGGCACTCCGATGAGCTTGAGGACATTCGTATCCAGGTCGTCATACATAGGTCCTCCCGAACGCTGAAGATAGGGATCGTTCTTGGGGCTGTTCATGTCCATGGCCCTGTCGAAGATGTCATCGGGAAGGTGCAAGATCTCCAGGCGACTGTCTTTTAAGATCTCCCCTGACTTCCCCTCGGCCATGTCCTTGTCTTCCAATTTCATGAATCGGACGTACGCAATCCCAGTTCTCTTCCCAGCGTTGTCGTTGATGATCTTGATGTCGGCGACTCTGAGCCCAGAAAAGAACTCGCGTAGGTCCCGATGAGTGAGATCTAGAGGACAGTTCCGAATCTCGATGCACGTGTTGGGAGCAGGCATTTCTTCCATGGCAAGACGGGGGTGTTGACCGTCCATTACTCCAGGAGTCTGAAGCAGAGGCTGCCGGACGGGATTCCCGGGTCTTGGCCCTCTTCCTCCGCCTCTGACCGGTGGGTAATCGTCAATGTCCGCATCCATGCCTTGGGGGACCCGACCGTTATTCCACGACCAGGGTCTGCCGGGATCTTCCATCGGTTGCTGCTCTGGATTTCCCTGGCCCAATGCATCGTCTCCGTCCCATCGTCGTCTCCGTGCTCCTCGGTCCCACGGTTCGATTTCCCTCTTTGGTATCTCTGGTATGGGGAGGAGACCCCCACCCACTGCAGGACCATCAGGACGCGGTGTAGTGATTCGGTCTCGGGTTTGAGACGTATCTCGACTTGAGTTCCCCTTTGCATCACGATCGCGATCTCTATTCCTGTCGCGATCACGGTCTCGGTCTCGTCGGTCCCGAACTCGATCTCGCGATTGGGATCGGGTTCTTCGTCTACGCTCCTTGCTTCGGCTTCGACTTTTCCGGTCCTTATCCCGATTTCTATCTCGGTTTCGATTTCTATCGACATCGCGAGGCCGCCGATCCCGATCTCCACGATTCCTGTCTTTGTCTCGGTCTCGATCCTTCCGATCCCTGTCCCTGTCCCGATCCTTTCTGTCCGCAGATCTGTTGTCTGCATTCGGTAGCAGGGGATCTGTCTTCTGAGCGTTCAGTGCAGGTTGAATCGCGAGATTTCCAGGCGTCGCCGTCATCGACATGGACATCTGCGTGGGCATCGCTGGGAAGGACATCTGGATCGGATTATTGGGCTGAAGAGGGATGGTGGGGATGATGGGTGGGGGTGCAGGCGCCGGTGGGACCATTCCTTGCAACACCATGCTCTGGGAGCGCGCCATCTCGATCACCTTTTGCATCTCGGTTCGACTGCTCAACAAGAGGCGGACGCACACTTCTTTTATTTTCCCTCCGTCCATCATCATCGCCTGACGTGCGTCCTCATCGGTGCTGTACCGAGAAAAAACAGAAAATATGCTACGGTGTCGAGAACGGATTTCTCCTACATCTCAAGATTCTCACATTTACTGCGCTTCACTGAGAATGAATCGGTACTATCTTAGACATCTCATTGCATTCGTGACCGGAGGAGAAGCGAGTAGTGTCAAGTGTCAACAATCTAGGTAACTTTCATGGTACGAGCTGGCAATATCCGTTTGAGATCTCTTGATATCTCTGCTAGTCCGAGATCTCTCCCATTGTATAAGTGGTATGGAAGGGATACAATCGATCCCTTCTGTTAAGTAAGGAAAAGTCATCGAACTAGCTGGCATGTATTTCACTAATATAGTTACAGTCTTGTGAGATCCCTCAGACATGGGAGGAAGACTCTGACACTTACGGCACTCGATTATAAAGCGTGTTTGACTTGGCGTCATCATCTCTCAATATCCTACAGGTTATAAAGTTTTTCAAATTTTAATATTATGATTTGTCCATTGCCTGCGTTTTCGACCAGGCCTACCCCCAAACGGGCGAATGGCTCTCATGCCATGACCATTGCCATAATGGTCGGTGTGTTCGCAAAACTTGTACCAATGTCTCTCATGGTCAGTGCCTCACAAGTTATGAACCAATGGTTCCCAAGGTCCCAAGGTAACCACTGAACCAAGGCTCTCAAGGACTAAGCCTCTCCTGTCCTAAATCCGCATTCGCCATAAGCAAAGGAAAAGGTTTACTTTATGTATGAATCAGCCAGTCTCCTACTGAACACCAATCTCGGGTTAACGATTCCATTCAGCGCGACGTTCACAAATCATGTTCAGAACCCTGCATCGTCACAATCCATATTGGTACCCAGTGGAGAGTTTCGTATTTTCCCTCTGGGCCCCATTAACCAACGGATATTGTTCACTGTGGCACCAAATCCATGGAGATCATGAAAGCTGACGAAGCAGCTGCTTCTGTTCAGCGTTGATCAGTGGAGATAAAATGGTCCCGAAAAATTGGCCTGTCCACACATGCTGCTCCTTCGAGGGGTGGATTTTAGAAATAAAATTAGAGTCCCTGTGCTCAAAGGCGGAACTCCTGAGTAAAAAAATATAGTTCCAAATTTTGTAAATTGAACACCTTTTGTTCAAAAGTTCAACGAACAATAGAAAATGATTCAAATTGAATCTTTCCCGTCAAACATTCTTCGCAACTGGATGAACTGAAGAGTCATTCAGTTGTCGATCGAAGTTCATCCGGCAAGCTCCTCATAGCATCTGTAAGGCTTCATCGACGGAGAGAGCCAAAATGCCTAACGTGCGCACGGGACAAATCAATAGCATCTATTGTGTCGCGGAATGGTGAAAGCATCGCCGCAGATTCCTGGCCACTTTGTCCTCACTGCACTTCCATTTCCGGAAGTAAACACAAAATCCATCAGGGCACCCACCCGTAAAATTCAACCTTAAATACCTACCAGGTAGCCCAAAATAGTTTATAACTTAACGCGTATGCAGACAAGACACCACACCAAGCATCAGTATAAAATTTTAGATATCACACCCAATATAGGTAAGTCCTTTCATGAAAATACTAATGATATTGGTGGTTTTACTTACTAAACCAATGTAACAGCTTTTTTTTTTGCCACACGATCTCGAATAGGCGAGTGTGCTAGTGTCATTCCGCTCGCCGGACTCGGTAAGTCCCATTGTGCGCGGAGCAAGCAGTCAGAATTTGCACACCACCAGCCACTTTCACATCGCGCCGATGTAATAAGCTGGTACTCTGCGTCTAATCAATGAAATTCATTTGAATTTTCTTGAAACCACTAACGCATGTTGGATGTGGCATTCTGTACATCTTTCCCGATTTTTGCGATCTGCAAGCCGATATCTTGAGTTGTGTTCCGTCAGTAGGCATGCGAAATTGAGAATTTTTTGCGAGGTTCATCTACATTATAATACGCAGTTAACTGAATTATCTAATTATAAAGGTCATTGAAGGTGAGAATGGTCTCAATTAATTGCCACGGTCTGTAGGCTTTCAAAAAAAGTTAATTGATTACTTAATTTAAAAGTTAGTTAGTTTTTCCCGATGCTATTTCTTTAGCGCTCTTTCTTGGATTGGACTATGCTGTCTCTTGGACCTCAACGACACACTCTACATTCGATTACTGCATTTTCTCTTACTGCTAACAAAAATTAACCCCGAGTTCTTTCTGCCTGTTAAAATTTTGTTACCCAGCAAACTGATCCCGCGGGACGAGGGTCTGGTCTAGTCGATGACATATTCAGTAATATGAGCAAGTCTAGAACTGGCACTCGCTGGTCTGGGTGCGCCATGTTTTTTTCTTGACCAACCGTTTTCGTTCGGAGGTCGCTTCCTATAAACTTTGGAGTCGGACTTTCTACAAACCTTGCAAGGTGAAAGCTTATCGTGATGATATACAAGGGAAAACCTAATAATCTGACCTAATGGCCGCTCCTGCAGAGAAAACTACTTAAATCTAAAATATTGATGCTGACATGTTCACAAAGCAAAAGATTCCAAGTATAAGACCAAAGCCCACCGGATAGCTGCCATATTAAAAAAAAAACCTCAGAATATTTATGTAGAGAAATCCGAGCTCATTTTCCGAAAACTTTGCGTTAACAGGCGATGACGAATGCATGAAAAAAAAAATTTGGGGATGTTAAGTTGGAGAAAACTATCCACTAATTCTCTTAAAAAACTTGTCCTGCTGATTCCCAAATCCTACGTAAGTTTTAAAATGAAATTCGATCTATGAAGAATCACATGCTGTAGAAAATTCTGGTATTCAAAAGGCTCTCTTTTTTGTATCTTTTCACAGGGGACGAAAGTCGTGACGACGTTGCTCCCTTCATAGCATGTACTCTTTGTTTTCTTCAAGAAGCTACAGCAAGTTCACCTCGTTCGCCACTGCCTTAGAAGAGATTCAGGGTGACATCAGGATCCGGACAAAAAGAAGGCTAAAACTGTCTCTTAAGTAATGCCGCACGCAGAAAGTAGTTTGCGACCGCCCGATAAATCTCATGAACTCTTTAAAATGAACAAAAGCGAACTCTCAAAATGTCCACGTTCTTCTCAAGGCCAGTAAAAAACGCAAAAATTAAGCAAATATAAAGCATATTAACCCAGCCAAAACTTCTGACGACCGGCTAAAATTTCACATTTCCATTAAGATTACCAGGTATTTTTACGGAAGATTAGAGAAAATATCTCAAGTTGCAAAACACCAGCAGCTCGTGTGAATGGCCAGAGAGAGATATATCCTGGATTCAGCAGCAGAACCTTAAATATACCTTCTCATCGACTCTCCTTCCGACATTCCGGCTCTCTTCTCCCTCGAGCATCCATACGAACGGGCATTCCACAGGAAGTCGCATTTCGGTGACAGAAAAAATGACCCACATGGCTTCGCTTCATCAGCCATAAAAAATCCTAAACATACACCCACACCGTTATTGCATGAAGAAAATTACTTTTGGAATGGGAAAAATACTAGGCGACTCCCCAAGGGGACTTGGATTTAAAAAATCGTCTTAAAATATCTCGTACGAATTGTTTCAAATAATTCCACCAACACATAGTTATGATCTGTCAGTAAAGTCCAAATTTACCTATTTCAAATAATAATATTGAAGAAACTTTTTTCAGGTCAAGTGAAATTAAATCAAATTTTCACCTAATTGTTTCAAAGGCTTCACCATACAGTGAATCACAGAAATTACGCACCAATTTAAGTTTGTGAGTGTAATACACGTATATTAAGACAGTGGTCCGGGGTGGCTACACTTGGCGATGCAGGAGAATTACGCCTGACCCCAAACGGGACGACGTGGACCAACTGAAACTTGACGTAGTCCCACAAGATGCACCAGTGGGCCTCGACTCCCTCTACATGTATAGCATGGGGCGTTGAATCGGCCGCCTCGATCCCCACACCTCACTAGATCATTGGGGTACGTGGAACCTGTGGTGTGTGACCCTGCCTACAAAACCTGGAGCTAGAACTTTACATCCCAACACCACTAGGCACAATATCGCTGCCACTCTCCGTATTGCAGAGTGTCGTTCTGTCGTCCATCTCCGTGTCACTGAGTCACGGTGGTGTAAAGCAGGAGTGTCAAACTCAAATCGGTCGGAGGGCCGCATCCATAATTTTCCACTGAAATTTGTGGTGACAGTCTATCCAAGCAGAAATTTCTAAAACACACGGCGGGCCGGATGAACCACCTCCGTGGGCCGTATGTTTGACACCCCTGGTGTAAAGCATTCGAAGCATTCACGTTCGCCGAGCCATTTCCGGACATGTGAATGATAATAATTATGGACCTTGATAATTTCGTCCGAATCTTAGTGACCACGCCTCGATAAGGCGATATTGAGTCCTGGCTCTCCGTCGTTGAGGGCGCGGAAGAAGTTGAAGACGAGCAGATTCTCTGGTCAATTTTCCCTCAGGAAAGCGAATCGCAAGGTAGAGATCGAGAGGCGTCCAAAATCCACGTGATTCGATCGAGGACATGCTCTGCGAGTCAATTGGTGGATCTCATTTCAATCACGTCACTTTTTGTTACAGGTGGCATTTAAAAAAAAAGGCAATGCCACTATCGCTGCTTTTCTGGATTACTTATCACCCTGTAACGACTCACAGGTGGATTTGGCTCATCCCAATCCCACATTCATCATTGGGCGAATCCAACCTTGGATTAGTGCCCATTCACGTCTCATCGTATTTGAATTGAAATTGGAGGTTTTTCAAGTAGCCAGCAATGCATGAGACAACCAATGATCCCCTCGCTGGAACTGGAGTCAATTATCCCATTCAAGTATAAAGCCAGAAGACTACATTCTCTAATGTCGCTTCCATTTAAGCTCACCCATCTTACAAAGATTTTCGTTTCCATTATTAAAGAGATTCTTTTCAACTGCCGTGACATTTGGCAGTTGCGAGAGACCGGAGAATTCTATCGGCACGTTACAGGTCAAAAAAAGAT